TGTTAAGTGGCCTAATGGAGTAAATATTCAAAAGAGCTTGGACTTGGAGTTACATTGGTACAAATTGTCCCAAGACTGAAATAATTTATCATTTGATGAGGAGTAAAAATCCATGCCATTTTTCTGTCAGCTTTCCAAAAGTTTAAGAATTGTTTGTAGATAGAACTAAGCATTTCTGTTCTTATCAAAAATCTATTCATAGGTCCTATTATATCCATAATTAATTTTAATAACAAGCCATAGCATTGCCTTTTGGGGGATACAAGACTGGGATCTTATTCTCATATTTTAACTGACAACTTTGAACAAAATCGATTGAGAAAATTGGTGAAGTTCAGGAGTGGTAATCTTGGCTCTTTATGATAGCTAATCGTTACTGAACACTTACTGTGTGCTCCAAACTGTTCTAAACACTTAACGTGGATTAACTACTTTAATCCTCATAACAAATTCCCATACAGGTGATCTTGGGTAAATTACGTAACTTTCTTAAGCCTCCATTCCTTTTTCCAAGAAAGAAACGAAGGCTTGAAAAGTTAAATAATTTGCTGAATTCACTTAGCTAGTGGGGCAGAGCTGTCCTTGATCTCAGCAGGCTCCAACCAGGGCTAGACTCTTTACCAGCACCAGGGACTGCCTTTGTATCTCTAGGAGAGAGAGACAGAAACAGATGCTCCCAAGGGTAGCTTGTAGCACTCACATTCACATTCTTTCTTGTTCTATGATATTCTTCTAAAATTGGAATGCACAAATGATAATAAATAAGAAACACATTAATTCTTCTCCACATTACCACCCTAATCTTTGAGACTTCAGTTTTCAACCTAGGTAGCCTAAAAACTTGTTTGGAAGGCAATTCAAAGCTTGTAATGACTTTCATAATGACTTCTAAAAGAAGGTTTTGATGACTTAATAACTTTAAAAACATTTCTGTCTTTATAGCAAATGTGTAACTGAAAAAAAAAACCAGGATAAATCTCAACTTAAATGAATATCATATACCAAATCTCCTTTGTGACTAAAGAAATCAGACACAAGCTGATTGAAGGTGAAAAACTATATCTGAAGACAGTTTCAGAAAGACAAGCAAAGATAGACATACCTCATTCTTAAGGAATGGTTAAAAAAGGAATCTTAAAAGACAATTTGGCATCACTGAAATTCTGCACCACAGCTCCAGCCTGCCTAATTCTTGCCTTTGTAAGAACAGTGAGAGAGACAGAGTAAATCCCTTCAGTAAGGCTTATGTTTATGGAAAACACATGGGCTATTAGATCCAGTTAGTCCTGGATTTGAATCCCAATTTTGCAGTTTTCAATGAATATGGTCTTTTTTTAAATTTAGTTATTTTTCAAGTACAGTTTTTTGTCTATTTCTCCCATCTCATCCCCCCCCGTCCCATGTCAATGAATATGGTCTTAAAAATTACTTCAACTCACAAACCTTAGTTTCTGCACCCGCTAAAATGGAATAACTACATCCTTGCGAGGTTATTGTGAGGGTTAAAGGTTATGTGTATAACATGCTTGGCATATGATAGTTTCTCAATAAACTGTAGCTAATAAAAACAACAACCACCATGTTGAAAAAAAACAATAAATAAAAACTGCCAACAGCAGACAGTGAAGTGTGATGGTTAAGTCCCTGAGCCTGGAGTCAGTCCACCTCAGTTTTTATCCTAGCTTTCTTCTCTTCATAGAGTATGTATCTTCTTGAAAAAAGAATGTTCTCTGTCTCTTTTCTCTTAACATGACATCTTCATGGCTTTACTTGAACTGAAGTTTTCAATCTGAGCAAATTACTTAACTTCCCTCTTCACCAGTTACCATAGCTGTAAAGGGAGGCTAATAATAGTATCTACCTCATATGCTTGTGATAGGAATAAATGAGTTTGTCCATGTAGATCCTAGAATCATGCCTGACCCTGACACATTGTAAGAATGGAATAAATGCTAGCTATTGCTGCTGCTGTTATTTTAGTTATTGTGTGAAGGACACTCCAAAACCAGGACCAATCACCTGGATAAAAACTACTCACCCATAATGTTCATTAACACATTTAAACTGAAAGAGTATGAAACCTCCTGAAGATGGCATAGCATTTCACACTAATGGCTAGAACAGAGAAGTTACTTCAAGGGCAAAATTAAAATTAGAATGCAGATTACAAGGATATGTGACCAAATAACTGGTAATCCTTCTAGGGATTCAGGGCTTACAAAGTCCTTCACTACACAAGGACTTTGTGAATATCACTTTTAAAACTCAAAGCCAAACTCACACACAAACCAAAATCAGTGAAGAGTGAGGAAAGGGAATACATGTTGCCTTCCTCCTTCCCTCAGAACATGTTTCCATGTACCCCCAACCTTATGCCTTAATATTTCCAAATCCTTTCTGCAAAGATGAGAAAAGCAACACTAATTCCACTGTGTCACTTCCATACATACAAAAATACTTTGGCCACCTGGCCAAGGTAATAAAGGATTGCTGGACCCATACACCACCCAAGAAACAACTACCCAACCAGAGTATTCAGATTTGCAAAGACAGCATATAATCCTGCTGCTCTGTGTGTGGCTTGATGGAGAGGGATGGAGAGTCTGGGATTCAAAGTGCTGTCTCCAGCATCTCATGGATTAGAATTATGATGTCTGAACCAGGGTGAAGAGCAGGGCAGCCCTACTTGGTGTCTATACTCCAAGCCCTCTAAAGCACCCCCTTCATCATAGGGGACCAGAAAATGGGACAACTCAGTAGAGGTCCTTTGGGTCACCAAGGAAAAGCAGCAGGGATGAACTTGAAAGAGCCCATTTTATGGTATGGTGTAAGAAACAAGAGGCAGCTTTTAATAATCTCGTGTGGTTGCAGCTCACTTCTCAAGAACAGTAACTTTAGCAGGCACTTCATTATATTTCTACTGTAATGGACACAGGTGTGAGCCAAGTCCTCACCAAAACACCCCTCAGAATTCAGTCCGAGTTAGGTCATCTGTAGTCTATTGACAACTGCTGAACTCAAAAGCCCTTATGAGGCATCTCAGCAACAGTATGTATCCTGCCACCAATGAGGCTCTTTTCCCATGAATAATGAACAAGAATATCATGTCTGTTGCCAGGTATACAACATAAACAAAGCTCAACACAAGGGTCTTGTTATGGTGAGTGTGTCTACTTGAAACAAAGGAATTTTGCAATGTGTGAGCCAAATTCTAGTAAAGGGTGGGACAGCTGTTGTAACAAATAATGTGAACACATGTTATCAGAATCTAATAAATCAGCTTTCTGTTGTTATAAAACAGAGGCCATGCAATGAGATAAAGATTGATGAAAGAGATCACTAAATGAGTTCATTTCTTTATTTTACAATGTGTCTTGTAACACAAAGCTGAAGATTTCTCTAATGAACACAGATCCTCATGGAAGGAACCTTAAGGGACTTGAGATCTCAAAGGCTCTATTGGTTAAATCTTTTTTTTTTCAAGCTTTGATATATGAGGTTGAGTACAGGCTGGCACTGGGAATGAGAACTCTGAAACCTTGCCGTGGTACTGATGGCTGCAGAGTGGGATTTGGAAAAGTGCACAGCCGCCTGGAACCAAATGCATGTGGCTGGGTTCCCTTGGTGCCAAAAGATGCTCAATGTATGAACAATTTGCCCGTAAGGTAGTTTCATGGTTTAAACTCCCGAAGTCGGACAAACAGAGAACAAAAGTGAGCTGATGTGAAGGCTGAACAGTCTTTGTTTTGTTTACTACACAGTGTGCCACAAACACTTTTCTCTTTTTCTTAAATCACTTCCATTCTAGGTAGTATGTACCTTGTTACACTGGGTGCTTGTGTTTGCGCAGGCCAAGAGATGCCATCATTGCCAGAGGGCTTTCAGTTGCTATCATTTTGAGCAAGAATTATAACAAAAAAAAAAAAATGCAATCTTATAATGCCTCAGTTTTCCCACCTGTAAGGGCTAACAACTACAGCCTATTTCAGAGATTCCTCATGAGGAACTCTGTGTCAAAAATAAAACTTAAATGATATAGTTTTGTCTATATGTCTGACAAATTCCTGGAAATTTTGACCTGAATAATTCATTAAATATACTAACAATGCTTACTAAAGAAATAATATTTTATAAAGTACAAAATGATTTTGTAATATAAGTAATCACTCACTAACATCCATTTTATAAACAAACACGTTTATTTAGGAGAAAGAATTAATGAAATAAGGTAGAATAGTATGAAATTCTGCAGAGATTTAGTAGCCACATCATGGAAGGTAATACATAAATAACTTTTGTACAACTGATCAAATAGTGATTCACAGAAAATGGCAATATAAGTAGAAGAGTTTTCAAATCTCTAGGCTGTGTCAGTTTATTTTTCTGGTTTATTAAGAACAGGCAAAATGAAATAAGCTCATGGGTGAGTAACCAGAATGACTAAGAGACTTCAAAGCCCCTCATGTAAAGAAATGTGGGAATTCTGCTAATAAGGAGAAGACCTAGGATGAGGGGACATAATTTTATCTTCAAATATTTACTGCGTTGTCACAAGGGCTGGAGCATGGTAGTTGTTCAAAACTGCTTTAAAGGATCAATATGACCAATAGGTAGTAGTCAGTCAACACTTGTGGGGTTCACAGCAGCAGCTCAGTCACTGCTGTCCCAGCAGGGCCCACACTGCCTGCAGGGATTCTGAGGGTTTTTTATTCCTGAGGTAATAAAGCGAACATGCACAAAACTTGTTGACAGGGACAGTATGAGAGGAACCTGCTGAGAGGGAAGGGAAGGAACGTGGCATGGGACACTCAACATTTCCGGTTCCCACTAACCTTTACATTTCAAGACTCTATAAATGCTATCATAAAACTGTTGATGACAATTCTCAAAGAGAATAGTTATCAAAGTGCTATGCTATTTAAAATGATCCTTCCAATCTAATCATTAAAATATATCAAAAAGAGGAGTACTCAAATAGATAAAAATATACAAACACTTACCATCATACTTTGCTAAGACTGCCTGAACATCAGCATATGCTTGTAGTTCTAGAAGGGCTTCTAAAAGGTTTTCATGGATGTTGAACATGCTCAGCAAGGGGAACTCCTTCATTAACTAGGAAAGAAGAAACCAAGAAATGAGTAATCTATACTTCTCATTAAAAGTATAACTAATACTGAATCACAATATATTTATGTAATATAAATATAATATAATTTTAGAAGTACAGTTAATACTGAATTATAAGTAGCCACACCACTTATTATTTTTTAAATCATGAACTGTTTACATTTTCCTGCTATTTTGGAAAAATGACAACTTTGAATTTGTGAGAACCTAAGGTGGGAGAAAATCCAAAAGAAAGGGGATTTCATAAAAACTGAGAAAGATGCTTACAGGTAGTGCTCAGTAATCTTGAAATACCAAAGAGGCCAAATAAGGTGAAGGGTGACAACTCTCTCTCAGGTGTTAACAATTCAACATCACCAAGAACAGTTTGGATGGAAGCTGGAGAAGAGAAGGGGAAGTGGGCAGGCACTACTTCAGGAGTGTCAAACTCCTTTTCACCGAAGGCCACATCAGTCTCTCAGTTGCCTTGAAAGGGCTGAAATAATTTAGGACTGTATAAATGTAACTACTCCTTAACTGTCAGGGAGTTGAAATTACATTCAACCCTTTGAAGGCAACCACGAGGCTGATGTGGCCCCCAGTGAAAATGAGTTTGACAACCCTGCACTGCTCTTTCAAGCAGCCTGGTGACAAAATTAAGGAGAAAAAGCAGGAAAATAAAGGTGATATGGATTAAGAAAAATATGTAGGTAGTGCTGGGAGGTGGTAGTAAAGGGACTGGATGTGCAGCAGTCCTGTCTGGTACCCTCAACAAAACAGGAATCAAGATCAATTTCTGAGTCTGAGGGAAGAGGTGGCAGGGAGGTGTTTTGAAGATGGGGGGTATAAGTGCAAAATGGCCACAAAGGAGGGGAACTGCTTAGCAAAAGAGTTAAGGAATCTTGGCCAAGGCCATCTTGAGGGCCTAAGAAATTGGAGATGATGAATTTAGAGAGGCTACAATTGGCATGACTGTTGAGTTTCAGCTGACAGCAGTCCAGGTCCACTAGCAAAGATGTCAAATGAGTTAGGCTGAGCTTGGGCAGACTGCACTAGATTTGATGAAAACTGAAGGAGCAAGAGAGTTAAGAATAGTGAAAGAATGATTAAAGAAATGAATGGCCTTAAGGTTCTAGGCAGTTTTTTTAAAATATATATATAATACTGAACTTCACTGGAAAGCAAAGAAAAATAAGAAAGAACTAAGATTTCAGAGTAAAATCTTTATCTGAAAGATAAATCTCATCGTAAGGGGGAAAGATAACCTGGTTCTTTCTAGAGAAAAATTATATATATATATATATATGTAATGTATGCGTATATATCATCTACTTAATCTCCTATATGGATAACTGTTTTCTATTATAACACAATAACCTGTAAAAAAAAGTGATAACTTTTTGACATCAACATCATTGAAGCAATTGTGCTGAGAGAAATAATACTCAAAAATAGGCTAATTCACCCTTAAGTAAGAAACCGCTGGATACACTTCATTGACAATCCACTTCTTACATTAGAAACATTTGCCATGTGGTTCTTTTTTAAAGCCAAGAATCATTTAGCATAGCTCTAAAAATAATTTTCTGTAGCCCCAAAGAGTATTGCATTACCAACAAAAAACATCTATCAAAATGATTATGTGTTCAATGAGACTGAACCCCCTAGAAACAGCATGCGGTATTTCTATTGCTAGTAAAGGAAGTAAATAAGACTATACCACACATTGTTGATGTTCTGTAACCAATCAAAGTATTTCTTGTTCTGGTATACTTTGATTCTGGTTGACATCATCCTTTGATTTTTTCCTCCTAATTAGTACTTGTTAGAATGAAAGCTCTCTCTCATTCAGCATTTAGCAACACAGTAAAGATATTCTCTAAACTGCAACATTTAAACATTTACCACTTTTGACCAGTTCTTCAGGTAAAGGTCAAAAGTCAAGGATACAAGTCATATTCTGCATGTTTAAACTGCAATTCTAAGTATTAGTATGTCAAAGGTTAAAAACTGAGAGGCTGTCTTATTAAAATCCAGTGAGACTGTATGAACAAATGTGGGAGTCTCAGCTTGTTGAAACAGAATTTGAAGAAAGATTCAAGGAGCTAGGGTAGCTGTGCTTTCACTGGAAGCTTGGACAGAGTATATTATGCGCCCCTCCAAAAAAATCACCAACTAAAGGACTTGAATCATGGTAAATAGCAAATGTTGGGGAGGCAATTGAAGTCATATGACAATTTGGAAATCTAGCTTTCCTTGTTTAAGAAACAAGAAGAACTAGTGATATTTCTGCTGCCCTGTCTCACTCCAGCTATTAACCTTGTCCTCTCTAGTCTTTCACATCAATCTGTCTCAGAAAAAAAAAACCCACGAACACTACTCCCTCAGCCCTCTTTACTCCTCACCACATACCTACAATCTGCCTTCCAGCCCCACAATTCCTCTGGATCAGCTTGTCCCACATTTACAGGTGACTTAAATTGCTCCATGGGCACCCTCCAGTCCTTTTCATACTTGACCTCTGCAATATTCGAAAGTTTGACTTTTTCCTTGAAACTCTTGTCTTTCTTGGCTTCCTGGACACCATTCTCTTCTGGTTTTCTTCTTACTTATCTCCTAGCTCCTTCTCAGGTTTCTACTTGTCTGTTCCTTACGAGTAAGTTGTCTCCCAGTTATGTCCCAAGAACTCTTCTCATTAACACCCTAATCTATAGGATTACTTTTGTGTCCAGAGTCTCAATACTACTGTTTTTGTGGGGGTAGCTCCCCCATCCTCACATCCTGTTTTGACCTACCTCCTCAGTGAATATATTAGGTCAGTTTATAAATTATCTCCCTTACAGTTTTACCTGGTACACTTAATACTAAGCTCATAAATTCCCCCTCCCCTAGCCAAATCTGTTCTTTACCCTTGGTATTTCCAACCTCGGAGAAGAAAATCATTAATCCTCTTCACCCTGCCCAATGCAGCCACCTTAGAGGTCCCTAAACAACTGAATATATAAAAATTGCCAATAGCTTTCATCAGGTTCACAGAAAGCTGTTATGCACACAATAAACGAGCAAACGTGATGGTCAATAATCATTACCATCTTCTCTTTTCTCTGACCCTATGACTAATACCTCAGTTTATGCCCTCATATTTAGTCTAAACTGCTCTGCTTGCCTCTGGATCATCTTTCTTTCATTTTTTTAAAAGATATTTATTTATTTTTTAGAGAGGGGAGGAGAGGAAGAAAGAGAAGGAGATAAACATTAATATATGGTTGCCTCTCACATGCCCCTTTTGGAAACTGGCCTGCAACCCAGGCATGGTCCGACTGGGAATCAAACTGGCGATTTTGATTTGCAGGCCAGCACTCAACCACTGAGCCACACCAGCCAGGGCTGGATCACCTCTTTCCAAATCACTCTTCACCTTACTGTCATAACAGGTTTTCACATATACACACTGGAGTCCATCACACCCCTGCTTAAAAGGCAACCACGGACATGGCTGGACCAAGGAAATGGGCAGATGTGAATACAAATTTACAAATAAGGCTGCTTATTAAAACATTATAATAGTGAAAAATGCAAGGAACTTAAAATTTAACCCATTATGAGGCATTTAAGTATGAGATATAGTCATCTTTTGGGCTATTATATGTAGAAATAATTTTTAACGGCACGGCCTGCAAAATGCTGACATACAAAATTACATTAGAAAAAGCAGAATGCAAATTATATTGCACAATTAGATCATGCTTTTTAAAATATATATGTATAGAAATACACTTGGTAAGAATGAACCAAATGTTTTAACAGTGGTTATTTCTGTTAGTGAGATTAAAGGTGAGTTTTATTTCTTTTTTCATTTTTCCATATGTTCTAATATTTTTAAAGAAGTATATGCACATTCTATAAATTGGGGAGGAAAGACTACATGTAAGAATATTGACCTCTCATCAAATTGAGGATATAAAATGCTCAGCATAGCAAACACAGCCCCTATGACAAGTCCCTGTCTACTGTGCCTGCCTTGTTTGTAGCCACTTTACTATATACATACCAGGCTCCCACCACAAAACAGCTTTCAGTTCCTCACACAGACCACATTCACTCATGTTTCTATCTCCACACTCCCTTCCCCCCTGAGTACTCTCCCTCTGCCTCCTTACTCTATCTGGCCAGCTTTTCAACTTCCAGGAACCTGCCCTTTGACTCCTGGCCTCTTGCCTCCATCTGCCAGGTTAAGTACTCCTGCTCCAAATTCCCAGAGTCCCTGTCACAATGGCCTATTGTCTTTCCCTTGAACCTGGGAAGACTGTGAGAACAGAAATTTTTTTTTCTCTTTTTTGACTTCCTGAGCAAATAATTTTTTAAATTATTGGTCATTTACAGTTACCCCAATTTTCCCCTATTGCTCTCCCCCAACTCACCCAACCTGAACTTCCACAGTCAATCCTCACCCTGTTTGTTCATGTCCATGGGTCCTTTATACATGTTTCTTGACTAGACTCTTCTCCTTCTTTCCCATTATCTTTCTCCCTCCTCCCTTCTAGTCACTGGGAATTTGTTCATTTCCTTGTCTTTGGTTCTACTTTGCTCTTTTGTTTGTTTTGTTCATTAGGTTCCACTTATAAATGACACCATATGGTATTTGTCTTTCACTGCCTGGCTTATTTCACTTGGCATAATATTCTTCTCCAGTTCCATTCACGCTGTCAGGAAGGGTAGGAAATCCTCCTTTCTTTCTGCTGAGCAGTATTCCATTGTGTAAATGTACCATAGTTTTTTGATTCACTCATTTACTGATGGGCACTTAGGTTGCTTCCAGCACCTGGCTATTGTAAATAACACTGCTATGAACATTGTGCTACATACAGTCTTCTGAATTGGTGTTTCAGGGCTCTTAGGTTATAATTCCAGCAGTGGAATAGCTGGGTCAAAACGCAGTTCCATTTTTAGCTTTTTGAGGAAATTCCATACTGTTTTCCATAGTGGCTGCACCAGTCTGCATTCCC